TGCTTCTCTAACTAGCCTTTGGAGAGCCTCAAATGAAATGAACAGATAGGAATACCTGGAAAGCCAATAAATAGAATGTCCACACACGATCAAAACTGCGAAAGATGTGCCGTGTCTCAATCAAATTGGATTTTCCAGTGCTCTTAGAGGTGTCCTGGGACATCTTTATTCCCTAAAATATCATAAAAGTGAAGCAAGTCAGGCAGTTTATTTGTCACATTCCAGTACTTATGTAAAACCAGAATGTTACCTTGCCGTGTTGATTTGAAAAATTCTCCATCATCACGCATTGGCCAAGTGGAAATCTCCAACCGATAAATCAAAGCGAGAAGACGGTTGGGAAAACAAGAAAGATTGGTCCACCAAGTTTGACGATGCGCTATGGGCATATAGGGACGGCATACAAGACACCCATAGGAACCACAACCTTTCAATCTTGTCTATGGGAAGTCTTGCCATTTGCCGGTTGAGATTGAGCACAAAGCTTTTTGGGCTACAAAATTGTTGAACTATGACATAAAAACCGCTTCGGAAAGGCGGTTGGTCCAATTGAACCACCTCGACGAAATAAGGCAAGAGGCCTACGAGAACACAAAGATCTACAAGGAGAGGACTAAGGCTTGGCATGATAAGAAGATCTTACCAAGGGAGTTCAAGGTAAATGACCAAGTGCTGCTCCTAAACTCTAGACTCAAGTTATTTCCAGGAAAGTTGAGATCTAGATGTTTTTTACCCTTTCGCATAAAGGAAGTGAAACCGTATGGAGCGGTAGTGCTTTGGGATGTCAATGGTGAACACTTCACGGTGAATGGCCAGCGCCTTAAGCCATACCTTGCTGATGAGAGCATGCAAGCAAGGGAAAGTTGACGATTTGTTTAGCCTTTCTCACAACAACTTGCTCCTCTTCCTTATCATCTCTCACAACTTCCTCAAGCTCTTTTCCACTTCTAAGCATTATGTAAAATGTTCCCTTGGGTTTGCTTCCGGTTTACCGGGTAGTGTTCCCATGGGTCTCTTTGATGAAGAGGCGGTTTTAGCAACTTGGTTGTCAAGAGATTTGACATGAGAGGCCAAAGTTTCAAACTTCCCATTAAGATCATTGTATATGTTGTCCACCTTTGTGTTCATCTCAATGGTACTTTTCTTTTGTCCTTCAAGGAATTGTTGCAAACATTAGCTTCACCTCACTATCTGGTGCAGTTGGAGCGGAAGAAGAACTCCCTTGAGCTTGGTAAGGGGCTTGGTAAGGTGGTCTTTGTTGGAGCAGTAGCCCCTCTAGCTTGGAACCCTTGGTTGGAAAGGTGGCCCTTGCGGTCTTGCTTGTGGGGGGGTAAGTTTGATGTTGAGGGTTCTCCCACATTGGTGCTTCTATAGGATAGATTAGGGTGGTTCCTATAGTTTTGGTTGAAAGGTCTTGGTTGGAATCCTTGACCTCCAACATAGTTCAACTCTTCTTGTGGCTCCTCATACTCTTCAAACACCAAAGTCTTGGTACCCTTGATATCCACCATACTCTTCACAAGAGTTTACCGTCATATTTTCTTTTGGTCACGCTTCAATATCTTATCCATTTTTGCATTCAGCTCTTGGATGGCATGATGAGATTCATCATTGTTTTTTCCTTGTAGTCCGATCATAATCCGAGCCATGACTCCCATTGCTTTGTGCGAGATTATCTACCAAAGTCTAAGTATCGGCTTCCTCAATTGTTTGACTCATGAAGCTTCTCGTAGACACCAGAGCTCTGGAGAGGTTTAAATAACTCGACTGAAAGGAGAGGAACGAAGTCACATCTCTCGCCCAAGTTCAGCGGACTCAATCGCACCCTTCCTTCGTCGTATAGAAGATAGTTCCGATCGTTGAGTTTAATGGAGACACAACTAAACTAGTAATATTGATATTGGAAGGAAAAGGATAAGACTCAAGAGAACCAACCCTCCATGGCTCTTGATACCATGTGAGTGTTTATGGGCTTCCAACTCAAACCGCTGGGAATGAGTGGAGAGGCCCATGTCCTTTATATACTAGTGTAGGTCCCTTCTTACTTTCAATTAGGGATTCCTAACAAAGGGAAGTCTGGATACTTGACACAGGTTGTTCTTTCGGAAGAAGAGAATGGTTTGTGAGTTTATCAGATGCTGGTAGTGGACAAGTAAAGATGGCAAATGACACCATGTCAACAGTGAAGGGAATAGGAAGTGTGAGACTGAGAAATGAAGATGGTTCTACTGTTTTGCTGACAAAGGTGAGATATGTCCCCAGGGTGAGAGCATTACTAATCGGGGAAGTTTGAACTAGCTGGAGAGTCAGGATCTCTTCTCGAAAGCTATTATCAACGTTCAGCGATTGAATTACCTTCAGTAAATCTAACCAGCTAAGCTACCCTTTATAATTAAGTTAAGAAAGGGCAGTTCTGTCGATTCCCAATCTCGAAACTGAGAGTGCGAAGTCACAAGCTGATGGGCTATATGTGAAGTTCAAAAACCCAGTTAAGAAAATAGCTATCAAGCTGAAACTTGAACAGGAATTTCCCTAGCTTTTCACCTTTCTCGTTAGTACACTATCTTTCACCCTTCCACATCTTCTCTTTATTATTGATGGTTGTTTATGGTCAAAGAGCTTAGGCTGTGCCTCAGTGTTGTCTGTTCAGTATTCTCACTGGCATCTCCGTCTGTGAGAACATCTACTTATCTCCTTTCACTCTCTCCTTCTTCCAATCCCGTAGAGAGGCCTGGAATAATTTATTGAGAATAACAAGACGATTGACATCTTAAATAAAGACATCATGCCCTAGACGCGAAGGTTAGTAAAGTAAGAGACCCAGGTGAATTCTGCGAAGATAGAAGAGCGGACTTCTGAGGAGACTGGAAGCCTATAAATAATAGGAATGGCGAACTGGAACCTCATCCTTCAAAGGGTTGGTGTATATTTGTCCTATTCGTAAAGACCCCCGACCTTGCGTCAGGGAAAGTGGGAAAACCCCTAAGACTCTACGGGCTAGCCGGGCCTAAAGGAGCTTATCAAATTCCACCTATGTAGTGAATTCAACAACTAAGAGTCTTCCTTGCTTTCGTCACAAATCCCATCGCTCGAGAGAAAGAGGGTTTGGAGTTAGTTACAAGCTGGGACTAAGACTGAAATGAAGGAACCAGATGGAGGGCTGATGCAACGGATAGGAGTTATGCTTTTTGGAAATGAGGATTAGCAATCATTCGACAGTTGGGATGCCGCTTTCACTAGTAGAAGATATCCACGCAAGGAAAGAAAATGCCCCGCCGGAAGAAAGGTAATTAAGTTCAAGAGTGTCGGTTTGGGGTGAGGCTTACTCCTCGACCAAAGGAATTGAAAAAAAGCAAGACTAACAAGTAGAGGTGGGTTTTTTCCTAAGCCAAAGAAGGGTTTGATTCCACCTAAACTGAAAGAGAGTCAGTAGCAGAACTTGACTAAGCAGCTGCAGAGTTTCGCTCAGTCTGATCTAAGTAGCTAGGCTAAGAGTCAGACAGTAGGCTTCCGGTAGGGACAGGGATCGGGTGGCCTGACTGGCTCAACTAATTAGTAGAGGAGGAACTTGAGTGACTCGACCAAAGGAGTGGAATGAAATGGAACGACTAAAGAGAGGAACGAAGGTACTCGACCAGAATAAAAGGTTATAACCTGCTCGGCCGACTAAAGCTAAAGGGATAGGGGAAAGAAAACTGCTTGAATAACTAGTGGGTTACTACTCGATCGACTAAAACAGAAGTCAGGGAAAAAAAACCACCATCATACTCCTTAAAGAAAGTAAGGCATCCCAAGGCAGGGAAGGAATCTTAACCAAGGAAGGATTCTGCTGGAGCTGCAGTCTCGGAGTTTCAAACTGACCGACCTTTAGGCACTGACGTGACTCTTCCACTTGTTGATGAGGAGAGAGATTTATTACTCGACTAAAAAGGAGAGGGTAGCAGAATACCATTAAGAGAAATATCCCATTAGTGCTGCTCTTTCCTAGGTAAAATACCTAACAACGAGAATCTGGAGGGAGCTTCTGGGTAGCATCAAGAGGACTGACTTACTAGAAACTAATATAATAGTGAAGGTTGTAGAGAAGGCTTCTTATAAGATAAGGGTACAGTAGCTCGTATCGAAGAATATTCCCGAGATGTGAATCTCACTAAAGCATTTCGAATGAAGAGAGGGGCCAAGCTTAGGAATTTCGCTTTCCAGGACGTACTCAGGGCAGGGAGACAGGGCGCAACAATTGTGACTGGCCATTTTGATCGATGAGGGAAGGCAAGGCCTTAACCAAGAGTCATCGCATTCGTCGCACCAATCATAGATAGAACCCGATCCTTGGATAGAATCCATAATCAGAAGTTATCGGTACCCTTAGCATCTTCCCTTTGATTAGAATGTGAAGGTCCTTGGTTCGGGCAAGCAGCGTATTTAGAAGCCTGCTACCGAAAT